AAATACATTTTGCATATTTTAAAATATGAAAGTGTCAAAGTTGAGTTAATATATCACAACATCCTGTAAACTGTACCGAAGAGCGTTCCTTTTACAGATTTGCCTTTATATTCCAGTAAGTTTATATAATTGGTTGTTTTATGCAACTGGCCTGCACATACTGTTCACTTACATGAATTCCTGTCGCTGTACCAAGATCAGGAGACACCCTTCTAAAGAACGGTGCATTGTGTATGGGGGCATCAGCCACACAACAAGCAGGGTGTATCCTGATCGCCCATTGATCGAATCCTGAGCGGAAACAATAACTATCAATGCAGAAATACTCAAGTTCAGTTTTCGTCAACAATGAATAGTGTATATTTCCTTAACACCTTAATGCCTCTGACAATTTGACTAAGTAACCAAGAGCATCTGCAGTATAAGTACTCTTAGAGTTAATGAAACATACGTCACGTTCACTTCCGAATTTTGATTTGAAGTTATATATATATTTTTTCTTTTTTTTTTTTTCATTCGCTGGGCAATTTCATAAGATGTCAAGGAAAATCCACAAAATAAAACTCCGAAAGTTGGCTAAAGCGACATAAAACACATATAAGTTTGGATGTTCCCGCTCAAAAAAGCCCCAGTTCACTTCACACGTCTTAGCATGCTACTCCAAAACGAAGTATATGAAACTCAACCTAAAAATGCGGTTTGGGTCCACTAGAATCTCTAGTATTAAAAAAAAAGGTTAAATAAAATTTAATTCATAACCCTTTATATGAAATTGATATACTTAATTTCTTTTTGTTGGCTTTTGATGCATACCACTTCACCATAAAACAGAGTTACCATTCTACAGGTAAGGACAACAAAAATTGTCTCAGTGATCAGATGATGATGCTCTTGTTTTAGTATTGTTGGCGTTTTCCTAGAGAGTATTTGATGAAACTGTTAACCCTCATTTCGCTGTAGGTGCGACTGTATACAGTGTTGCTTAGTGTAGCAGGTCACTTTACCTTTATGTTCCGAGTTTTAGGTCCGGTATCGACGTTAGACACAGCCGCTCCATCAGTCTAGCTGGTGGTAGCAGCCATCGCAAAAAAACGAAAGTCTGTCTATGCCCGGCTTCGAACCACAACGTTTGCCGTAAGAGAAACAGGATTTCTTTAGCTTTTATATGAAGATCGATGAGATTAGGAAGTTACTTTACCTGCTAACATCCTTGTGCAAGTTGCAAAGCGCAAAAACTATTTCTTTAATTTCCTACAAACCATATATCGTTATAGGTCGTCAACAAAGGGAAGCTCGCAAGCCTCGCCTCGGCCTCTCCTCCTTGGACTACATAGCCGATGCCATAATGGTAATCAAATGGAAAGAGGCAAAACGTAATGTCAGTTCCTTAAACAAATATTCAAGTAATAAAATATACAGCGCGTTTTGTTTACCATTATTAGTATGTGTTATGTAAGTTTGAAGTCTTCTGTGCGTTAATAGCGGCATTACATAAGATTTAATGCCGGCATGGCACCTGACGGTGCCCTAAGAAATAACCACCTAAACATAAAAATGCGAAACAGAATACTTTTTTCTTAAATGTGCTTTATCTTTTAAGCTAATATATCCGATTAGCAAACACACATAGGTATTTCTATCTAGAAAATATTGATTAACACTTATGTGTTCTAAAAATCTTGATTAAAAACAGGCCTCCTTGTATGAAGAAGTGATACGTCTCTGGTGACTAAAAAACAACGAAATATTATAAAGAGACCTAAGTATCAAACATGTTAGGCTATTTAAACTGTGTGTAAGTAGCAAATATTTATTTTGCGTTTCACAAAGAACAGAGGTCAAAACCTTTCGAAAGGAAAGATAGTTCGCCTATCATACTGGGTAGTTCTGCATTTTGTAAGCCAATACTTTGACTTGCAAGTAAAGAAATTTGGTGATTTAGCTTCCTTTGTGCTCTTATTATATTTTACTTGTAGTCGGCATTCATTCGGCAGCCTTTACCTCATTACATAACATAAATTACTCGGTAACGAAACAAAGACAGCAAAGCGATGCGCCCTCTTGTGCGTCTCAATGAATGAAGCAACTCGTACATTTTTCCTCCTTCGGCCTTGGAGGAGACTAAGCCATAAATTACTATAAAATTATTATTAAAAGATGCGGCAATATCATCAAAAATATTCCATCAAGTATGCCTTGTTCATCACGGCACAATCAGACATGTTCGGTCATTTTAGCTCGAAATATCATCCTAGCAGCATAAAAAGCTTAATGCGTTTCATTAAGGCATATTGGTGATCGGTAGCGCCCTCCCACGGAGCTCGATGAAAACAACATCATCACGAGAGTGACAGCATCTTCAGCAAGCCGTTCTGGTTGCCTCAACTAACGAAATTAGCCAAGCGTCCGTAAGTAATGCACACCAGCCTATGAGGGTGCCATCGCTAGGCCATTGTGACTTTGCGTGGGTGCGTCAGTGGTTCGCTTTAGCTCCGTTGACTTTGCGATATTCTAGCTTCGTTTTGACAATTATCATACTCTCCCATCGAAATGTTAAAATTTGGTAGTGGAATTTGGATGAGCCGGGACGTTCTTGAAGCTAATTAGGAGCACTGCTTAGCGATATTTATGATTAGAGGTTTATAGATTAGCTGAGGGTAAAGAGGAAAATCAAAACATGTTTAGACATGACTGAAAAAATCGACGATGTGAATGTAGGATTAATATATAAAAAGGATATATAGAGAGGCATCGCAATGGACATAAGATTCAACAAAGATGTATACAAATACTGCTATTAGATGGTAGCAATTGAAGTAAATTAACATATGCCAACATATTCGCTAATATGCAGCATATATAATATGTAAACACGCTATTCTTGGTTGATTATAATCGATTTGCTACACTAGAAAAATAGACTTGAGCATTTGTCTACACATGCCTATGGGGCGCCCTCTCGCGGCATGTTGGAACATTTCCCAGACACAACTTACTTAACATGTGTCTCGCCTGCATTATATAAAAGTTTAAGATGCCGCCAAATTTCAAACAAAAAAAGTTTTCATTTGCGCTAAGGCCGTACGTTTCTGACCACAGTATTTATATACACCTATATACATATCATCTACCGTATTACAAATGGCTATTTTTATATGTAACATGTTAAGCTGAAAACTGCGTAGAGTATACACGTCCACTAGTAGTCATCGATCCTTGCTAAACGCGCCAAATTTCAAGTTTGGCCAACTCTCTAGTTGAGTATCACCTTCACCCAGAAAAAGTCGCCATGCACAATATTAGTAGTTATATATATATATATATATATATATATATAACTACTAATATTCGTATTGTTGTAAGCATTACTTGCAAACGCCAAAAGCCTCTAAAAGCCTCATCCACATTTTGTCATCAATGGATATTGAATAACGATATATTATTATACAAAAGAGGTGTTAAAGATACGGTTATGTTTTATAGGGGATATTTAAAAATGTCTTGCTAAGCAAATGGGGCGCCCTCTGGTTGCCAATGACGAGGTGAGGAGGGTGCGCAATCCCAATTGGGACCGTCGACCTAACGGCGGGCACACAGGGTTGCCAGGCGCATTGCGCCCCGTCATCTGGCACTGCGCGGATGAATGAATTCCTCAGATGACTCACAGGAGGGTTGGCCGCTTTTTGTAGCTGAGACAAAAACGAGTAGCCGAGCGAAAGAGAAAAGGATGAAGGGAGAGAAAAAAAACTATTGCAAGAACCAGTTCACTTTCCTCCTTTACTTCGATTTGTGTCTTCTAATACACAAATGTGGATTTGCTAATCATCATGTCTAAATAAACTGTTTGAGCAGGTTTATCAAAAGACAAAGCCGACCTTGTAGGAAAAAATTCGAAGTCAATCATAGCCCTTAGTACTGATAGTGGAAAACACGCTATTTAATTAGCATTAAAGGTCTATGAACCTGAAAAGGTTACTACTCCTATTTCTTCTTTTGTGGTAGTTGATAATGTATTGAATAGTTAACTGTCGGAGTGTTACTCTAAAGTACTATCCGAGACGGCTATGCCTCAGGGAAGCAAGATGGGGCAAGCTTAGGCATATCTAGGTAAAAAGACCATTGTTGCCATCGCTGAGAGAAAAAAAAACAAGTGAAGAATTTTGACGCATGGAAACTCTAAGTATATTTTCCATATATCTCGACAGGACTCAAGGTTCTGGTAGGATGCAGCGGGTTTTAATAGACCAGGGACTGATGCTTTGTATTTGGGACTTAGTTACTGAAGCCTTATTAGAGGGAAACGATGTCAGCGGTCCTACAGGAGAGGATAAAAATATTGGCTACTAAACAATTTGAAATACAATGTAAATTTCGACGGAAAATGCATCCATTCGTTACAACAAATGAGATATGAGAAATGATTTTTATAGCAATTGTGGCTGTTGGAGGGTCAGTATACCCCACTTTTGTATTTGGATAGAATTTATTTTCCAAGAGAATTATCGTGATTGATCTGACGATGCGTTCATTCGTAAACACCTATTATAGGGATTAGAACTGCTTATTATGGCTTAACCAACCTTGCATCTATGGGTACTGTAAAAAGAGACCTTAATTTCACCCATGTATAGGTTTTATTTGCCCCCAGGTGCTAGGATGTAATTGCCCCATGTTCGTGTAAATGCCAAGAAAGCTTAAGAACTCCTTCATTATGACCTACTAAACGAGAGAATCAAATACGAGCACTATCTTGTAACCTCGTAAAATCATATTTTCGCACATTTTTGCAAATTGTCCCATTTTCCCCGGAGACTAACCCAATTATATTTTAACCCTATATGGGCTACCTGATGAGCGGACGACATGTGAAACCCCAATGACAACCTATTCGATAGACCCAGATTGGGAGAGAGTGAAAAAAGGCTGCCCGGTGACATAGGGTTGCCAGACTTCCGATACTTTCGGCCGATCAGCTAGCCTCCGCGTGTGTGTGTCTCAATGTTTGTTGGTTTTGCTGCTGATTGTCCATATACTGTCTGATAGGTAGACTTAACAAAAGAGCTCAAGGGAAGTGTGAAAATCCAAGTGAAGACTGTGAAAATGCTAATTTAAGTGCGTGTTTGCTTTCCGTTATCACTTGAGTTGGATAAGGTACGCAATATTATAAGCAGATAGGGCGCTTTATAGGGCAACCGCGGTCGTATTCGAATTGGCTGAGTGGTCAGCCGTTTGTTTACGCTACCCAAATTCTTTGTCAATCGCGCAATCATGTTATACAGCACCGTTGATGTGCCTGTATTTATCTCTTGTAGATATATTACTGACTCATACACTAATACTCGAAATACTTAGTCAGTAGATAAAATTTTAATTACTTCGATAGTAAATGCCGCACTATGAATGGAAATTACAGTGCGGAGTAACAGAATTTTTTTTAGAGTGAACTGCGGCAATTCGAATGTTACTGCCCAATAAACATTTAGAATACGACTAGGAAATAACATGTGGACAAACAAAATAAATACAAAAATCCTGAACTAGTGCAGACGTTGCTGTAACTACTGTGCAACGCTCATAATAGTTGCGGTCCATTCGAACCAATTAAATTAATATGCTATATTATAACGCTGAATTTTTAGGTTGCGATACTAAAGATAGCTCAGCGTTTATTATTTTTTCATTTGATAATGACGTTGAAGGCTAGACATAAGAATAAATAACAATACATTTCTTAAAAATATGTAAATTCAGTAATGTTACATGACATAATCGTATTTGATACTAACAGTTCAAGAGATTGTTGATCGTTAACACGATTCGTATTTAACGAGAATCAACACTGGTCGACGACACGTATTTAACACTTCGAAACATATATATATATATATATATATATATACATTTTTTGTTCAATTATCTACCTAATATATGATTTTCTTGATGATCTTGTAGGGATATGTGATATGATCGAGTTTGTCGTAGAAGCATAATTTTTGTCATTATCTTAATTAAGTATTGGCTAGCTAGACATCTCATTGAATTCTTAACCATGATTCTAAGCAAATATTATCGATAAATGAGTTTTAACGCTGTTTGAGGATTGTTTACTTGAATAAGAAGTTTTGAGTTAACTTATTTTATATTTACAAGCCTCCCAATTTACCTACAATAAGGCACAGAGCAGACTTCTCAGTTTCAATACAGCAGATTTAAAAATGTTTATATAGCTTTTGTCCGTTTGTATTTTCCTTTTATTTGTACGAATAATAGTTTTCTAACTGTAAACACAATAAAAATGGAGAGCAGACTAGCAGGTTGTGTTAGCGCTTTATTATTATTGCAGCTTGAAGAACACGCACAGACAACCCTTAATTTATCTTTTTATTTCAAATATGTGTTTCAGAAAAGCTTGCTATGCAATTCCCAACTACCTATAGGTTTTAGCATTTTCGGTATACAAATAATTATAGTCATGAATCAATAGTAAAGTAGATGATGCAATTGAGTTATATGACTGTAAATAGTTATTTTTAGTGTTTTTTTTTACCTGCATTACCTTTCAGTATTTAGGGAGTGCGCACACTACCTAAATTAATCTGGGTACTCTGCTTAATTTAAACCTTTAATATTTTAGTGCTGCCTAAGCTAAGGTAGAGGTTGTTTAAATTCAGCCAATAGTTAATTGTTTAATGATCTTATCTTTTAGTTCATCTCTTGTAATAACTGAGATGCATGTATCATCAGCAAATCGCACAATTCCAATACCTGTCCAAAACTCGTGAAGGTTATTTATATATTGAGGAAAATAAGTTTTCAGGCGAATCCTGCGGGATTTCGTATTCATCATTTTGACAGGAACTGATCTCGCTAGAATCTTTTGCAATTTGTTCTTTGCCTGTAATAGTTACGACTGAATTATAATATTGGCCGAAAAGCAGTAGTTTGTTGATCAGTTGCCTTCTGGTAACACAGTCGAATGCGATCCTTATATCTACAGAGTCAGAGCTGTTTTTCTTTTGTTTCTTGTTGCTTGACCAAATAAATACTTGACCGCTATGATTGCGTGTTTTCATTTGAATCCATATTGCTTTATGTTAGTCGTCTTGTTTTTCTCTAGAAATGAAGTTAGCAGAAAATTTTAAGTTTTCTCCAGTAGTTTGCTAAATATAGGTGGCGTCCTATTTGGCCAAAAGCTGGCAAAAATTAGATCTCCACCTTCATGAATAGAGGTAATTATACGTTTCTTCTAAATGTCTTGGGGTTAAATTCGATTCAGAGTTTATATAGGTGTTATCTGTGCTAAAACGTTGTACAATATTTTCGAAGGCATTAACAAAACAGTTGAGTCGAATTTTCATTTCATTAATAGTTAAGAACTTCCAATTTGAATGTTATTAATTTTCATTTACATTTTTTGCTCATTATGGAATACCTAAAATTGCTTTTTTAAATCGTCCCCACATGCTAGAAGACGATATTTTTTTTTTCTTGAAGATCTCATTAACTATTGCAATATATTCCTACAGTGGATGCAGCATTGATAAGCGGTGCGTACGTAATTAAAGTGTATACCTAAGCATTTTAGTTCTTATCAGGTAGATTTACTTTGTAAATATATGCTATGTGTAGAATCCTTTGAATTATATTGGTTGAAATAATAGTCACTTCGTTCATATTGCCACTTTCGATCCATTGCGATCATCTCTAGTCGATTTTTTCTTTGGCTTCAATTTCAGCTTTTAACTTTCAGGTATCTCTGAGCTTCTAAGAGTGTGATAACCACCTCATGGCCTGGTGTTTCTTTTACCATATGTAAATCTTTTACCATAACTTTCAGATTTTTAATAAAATTTAATTTGTGAAAAATGTTATCAATTAGCGTACCATTTTCTAGTGGTTCTGTTCAAACCTTTTGTATTCGGGCCACCATTGTATTGTCATATTCACTGATGTTTCTATTGTTTCTAGTATATTCATTTGAATATGTACCATAAACAACTTATCAAAAGCAGCAATCTAGGGCTCCACACATATTCATCAACCTTTTGGTGAAAAGATTAGAACATTTAGGACTTTCCTGGCTCGGAGACCTATAAATAAAATTTATTTTTCGTAGCCTATCAGAATTTAGTTTGACTGATGCTCTTAACAATTCGTGATTTTTTCATTTTTCTATTTGTAAGTTTATTTTATGTGTATTACCTTTTACATATGAAGCTGTTCTACCAGCTCTGTCCTTCGTTCAAAAGTGAAGAAACGGTAAGCTTTCATTGAATGTCCTTTTTTGCAAATCTCATGGAAACAGATTATGTGAAAGTTACTACCATAGCTTGAGAGTTCCTTTTTTCTTATCGCACTGTTCAGACTTCTCGTATTTATCGTACATAACTAATATCAGGTTTATGGCTCTGTTGAACTTGAATAAGACAAATATCCCATGTATTATATAGAATTTTGTCTCTATTATAATAAAAAAAAAAAATGTAAAAACCATTAATATAGGTTTTTAGCACGATATATGTCTACAAGGCGAGAGTCTATGAATTCGTGGGACTGAAAAAAATTGCGACGGATGTTGTTGATCTGCACCGATGGTTCGTCTAGTAAAATAAATATTATTAATAATAAAAGTACAAATAAACTAATATGCCTTTTACGCGTAAGGTATGTGTATATGTTTTAGAATTACTGGATATTAATATCGGAATACAAGTTAGCTGCTGCAAGCTGTTTAATAGCTGAATGATAAAAAAAAAGGCGGATGTACTTATCTCTTTGCCTGATGCATAGGATTTAATCACAGAACAACTGACCGACAGCGTTTTTGCTATGGGTTTTCTTCATTCATAGATGAAGATTGAATGCGTGGAATCCCTTGCACCTGCAGAAGTTCCAGATATACCTGTTGGGACTCCCGTGGCGTCAGCGAGCGTTCCTAAACATGGCCGCGGCAATGCTCATTCTTCGCCGTACCGAAAGATCGTTGTCACGTGTGACACACGAGGCGCCGTGGATCCGAATCTCGTGCGGGTCGCTGTTAGTTCGTTCGTCAAAAAAAAGGTATTACAATATTCTAACTGTAAAAATAAGTTACTATTCAGTAGCCTATTTTGCATTGTTTGAGGGAAAGCACATTAATACATTAATATATCCAGTAGCAATCCGCTGAACTACTTGATACTCTGCAGGCAGACGGACATGTTTACGGTCATGACGGATGTTTCATACGATAACGTAATCCACTATCGTCAGGATGTTTAATATCAAATGATATCGTTTTTCTTCGCCGTTGACAGGTGAACTGCTTGGTCAAAGAAGACTGCATTGTTCGTCTGCACTGGAATGGAACCGACGTTAATAGTCTATTTCTTCGTGGCATCGAACCACTCACGCCTCAGCAGACATTGGAATTGAGAGGCGCTGCCAGCTATCAGATCGATGCTTTACACAATCGGGGATTCCCCGCCGGTCCATCGGCTACTGCTCCCGGTGTACTACAACAAGCGAATGGACCCACCACCTTGGCAATTACGATAGCCAGTTCAGTTCTTAATGTCAGATCGACGGCTCCCCGGTACACAGCGCCACGACAAATTTTTCCTCGACCTGCTCTCATTCGAAATCCGGCGCCCCAATTAATCAACATCCCAATGATATCCATGGTACCCGTTCGATCCAGTCCGGTTACGACAATATCACATGGTGTGCGTACAGCTGTAAGTGTCCCAAAAGTTATTGAAACGATTCTTCCGAGGCCACCACAACCTCAGCCAACCATTCTTCGATCACCTGCAAAACCTGTAATTGTACGAACACCCGTTCAGATGCAGGGAAGTGGTTCGAGCAGTCGTAGCTCCATAGTTTCACTTCCATCAGTGAACGTACAGGAGGCATCGATTTTGCCAGTCCCCATTAGACTTCGCCCGGCTATACCGCCAACTACCCCGGTGGTAACGCCAGTGACAGCATCTCGGTTTGCCCTTCATCCGGCAAAACCCGCACCCCCACCGAGACCTTCTGCCCCATCTCCAGTCATGGTTCGCTTTAATGGACGCGTTCAGGCCGCGCAGCCGGGTCAGCTAATCCGTCGAACAAATGGCCAGATTGTTCGGGTGATGCCAAACGGATCGCTTGAAGAGGTGGAGATGCCAGTAACGATACCGAAAAAGGTATCTATTAAAAGTAGCCGCGAGAAGCCTATCTCGCTTGATACAGATAGCGAGGATGAGCCATCGTCACCAGCAAAGTCATCGACACAAAAATCGGACACACCCTTAAGGGATTGCAAGCAGGAATCATCATCGTTACCAGCGACAGGATCAGCATCGGGCGTGCTGGTGACGGCTAGCGTAAAACGTCGTGGTAAAAAACGAACCGGTAAACTACAAGTTGTCGATCTTGATGATTCAACTAGTGGAACTGAGACGGACTCGACCGACAGCTGCGAGTTTATTGGAGTTGATGAAGTTGTAAAGCCCGGCTTTGAGCGAAGATCCCAAAGAATCGCTGCAACAAAGAGCAAGGCGAAAGTTGATAAAGAAAGTAATCAATTAGCGTCTATTAGGTTGAATGATTCAGTGAAGAAGGCGGATAGTGCCGGGTTGACAACGGAGTCTGACCTCAGTGACAACAACGCTGAGTCATTACCGCCATCGAAACGGAAAACCGCCGAGGTTGAGGACAGTGAAATGCTCCAATACGAGTTTTTCATGGGATCTGATGGAGTGGTTGAGCGAGTGCCGTTCATTAAAGACCTTTCACTATTACAGCCAGATTTCAATATGACTGTTGGCGATAAAGAATTTTCGAAAGAAATGATAGAAGACATGGTAGAGAAGGTTAGCATAGTAAGATAACGGTTGGTTATTGTTAATGTACCGTTTCTAAAATCAGTTTTATAACGCTATGATTAAAAACAAACGTGTCTGAGCTAACATAAGGAAAACTATAGCGACTATTTTTTTTTCTTATTAACGCTTTTAGGGAGTTCAGCATAGCCTTCTCTATGCTCCGCCGGAGAACTGCCGATTAATATTTCGAGATGCGGACGAATTGGACTTCATGGACACGGTAAGTCGGTTGGAAAATAACATTTACTATTGTGCTGATAAGAATACATTTATTGCTCATTAATATTCTATGTAACTTCGCGAAGTGGGCAGGTTTTGTTGAATTTTTCCTAACGAATGATTGCTATTCTCTCTGTGAAATTATGCAATTTTTATGATGAATCTAGAGAAGAACTGGTCGTGTTGCTTTACAAGTGTCTAACATTCGACTTATGTATGCCAGCGTGTATAGGTTTAACTTTGTGTTCTTTTTTATTATAGGTCATCGTCCAGGACGATGGTGAGGTAAAACTTGATCCCGAATTATACCAGTGCTATATGCAGATCGTATATAAGGAGTTGTTAGCAGACCATCGACTCTTCAAGGCCGAACAATTAAGGAAACAGCAGTTTTTTAAATCAGGTTCGTGTGCTTCATCTATTTAAATCTGTATCTATCTGGATAATTTAGCAAGATCAAGAACTTGTTAATAGAACCTCAATTTTCTTGCGTAGACTGTGTCAACCCAACGCCCTATGATATATCTCTTAATATGTTAACGGAATGGTAAAGAAATCTGCAGCCATTTTTAAGGCAAGCAAAAATATTTACAAAAATTTAGAGTTAATGAAATCGTTGCTATTACAAAGATGAACACCATTTGTTTTGGTCTAATTTGAAATTTGAAGTTAAATAGTAATGCTTCAGAGAAAACAAAAGGACGAACGTATTGCAGCTACTTTGAAAGTAAGAGCATCAGTTACTCTACACAAAGTTATACCGATGTATTTATTTAAATGGATCCTTTCACATTGTGAGCTTCTTATCGTTTCTAAATGTTTTCTTTTTTGAAAATCTATATTGCTTCTATATATCTATAACGCTTACATGTTTAATACTTGAATCTGGGTCTCATCAAATTTCGTCTAGGGTCAGGCTAAATTTATTTAGAAAAGACATGCTGTTTGAGGGTACCCAATTACCTTTGTTTATCTATTAAGATAATTGTTCTTATCACGTTACGTCTTCCACAAAGATCTAATCATTACGCAGTTGATAAAACGAATGGCTAAATTTCCTTCTTTCGTAAACAGTTCTTGTAATCATTAGTGGTAACTCGTTGTAGGGCCCAATATTACAGATAGTTTTACTTTGCAATTGAGGAATAATTTACTTAGGTATTTATTGCACATTTGGACCTATTCCATGCAATTATTTCTAGTTTGATACACGCACTATAACGTCGGCTCCTGATGATGTACTTTTAAGGTTCAAAACGGACTAGAAATATCGGCTAGCTTTCTTTTATTGTATTCGGCCCACTACATGCTACAAACTCGGTGTTTACTGATTCGTTTCCAGGACGGTTAGACATGCCGGATAGCTCAGCTGGCCTGGACAATGTGAAATCCGTTGCACAGTCTGTGGCCAAACCTCTCGTGCAGGCGCCAGTAGCTACGACGTCACCAACGAAACAAACAGCATGTGTTTCGCAGAACCGCGCGCCAGCTGCGTTAGAGCCGTACGGAGTCGCGCCTAGCTCAGGAACCCAGAAAAAACGCGGCCGCTCATTGAAACGACCTTCATCACCTCTCAGCCGACCAGTACCAAAAGTTAAAGCGCTGCCGTTAAACAAAGGAGTTCCGCCAATAAAGGCAGTTTCATCAAGTAAGGTAGCCCCGCCTACATACACTCAGGCATCAGATCCCGAGCGGCCCTATTCAGTTCACTATCTAGCGTCTAATGGTAGTGTAAAAGTCGTTAAAACTAGAGAAGAGGTTCGAACGCGGCAGTGTTACGTCATCATGGACAAAATCAGCGACTATCAACTTGCTGAACAAATTGCTCAGGACAGCGAGGGCAGATTGAAGCTGCGTCAAGAGGATGGAACAAATCTCCCGCTGCATAAGCTATTTGCGGCACAATTTAAAGAACAGCTGTACTACGACCACGAGCGTGGTCAAGTGGATCCAGAACGGAAGCGGGGTTTTAAATGGGACTGTGTGCTGCGACCAATCTTTGATCGCAATCGGGGCGTCCGACATCCTGTTCGTATGTATAGCTATCGGCACCGTCCACAGGCCGAAAACGCTGCGTTGTTATCATCATCAGAGTCAATATCTGCGCCTGTGAACACAACCTCAAGTAAAAATACGACCTTTGAAGGCTCATCGGATCGCTCTGCTTCAACAGCAACGAAAGCTGCAGCAAGTTTGGTAGATGTTTCTACTTCTACATCCATTCTTGTTGGGACGCCTATATCTATTGTAGGTGCTACTACGGTTGCAGCTGTAGGCAGCCTTTCGACTGCAGCTTGCGGCGAGTCGCCAAACGAATTAACGGCGACCACGACGGCGAAATTCAACATTCGGCCGTTAACAATCGAAACACGAAAGAAAGAGATTGTTTTCGGGGACATTGAGGATGACTACGTTGATGTCGACGTGGTGGCTAAACCCCCAGTCGAGGAAGATGACAGCTGGGAGGCTGGCACTTCAGATGAGGATTGGGATATCCAGGATACAAGGATAACACGAAGTCGAAAGCGACGGGTTAAAGCGAATGCGAACCATTCATCTGCCGAATATTCACGAGTGCTCGTACATGTTCCGGGGAAAAATAATGCAAAGCATCGATTTTTTCAGCCGGCGACGAATATCGCACCGTTACATGAACCTTCATTGTGATATAAACATCTCTGTCATGGAAAAGGCTTTTAGAAAATAAGATACAAAGTGTAGGGACATTTTGATGACGATGATGCAACTGTGGATGCTAATAGAATACACATGGCCAACGACGGAAGGCAAAAATGTGTCTGTAATTATGTTGAGTGTCAATGCAATGAAGACCTGCTTGGTTTCAAAAATGACCATAACTATATCTGGTACAGACGCGGAGAGAAAAGAGTAGAGAGGCCCTTCCTGGACTAATTGACTGAAATTATCGAAATGAATCGTAAAGCGATTTATTAGATGATCACGTGTAGATTGTTGCTGGCTTTATCACATGCTTGCATGTTCGTTCACTTTTTTTGTCTTTGTTCTGTGAAACTGCAACAAAAGAAATGACCGATGTTACCAATGTCACTATGTATATTATTCCCCGCTTGTACATTACATCGAGTGACCCGAGTGAAAAACGTGTATGCCTGTCACGTAAATACTGTATATATATATACAAGTATATAGGGCAATAACTTGATATAGGGAAGAAGCTTGGTGCCGATGCTGTCGGGTGCTCATGAACACCAAAAAAGATGCATCATGGAGTGAATGTGGTGAGTCCGGCTTCCTTGTTTAGTCATAGAAAACCTATACGCATAAGACTGTGCTATACATCTAGGAATATGCATTACCTCAAGTTTTCTCTTAAAATGATAAATATAATATAATATACCACAATCACCCTCGTTTGAAAAGTTGGCTGTGTATTAAATCCAAAATGCAGTACATACGTAAACGAAAGCGGAATAATGAAATATAATTAATAAAACAATATAAAGGAGGATCTATAAGGAAGGAACTATTTTCTGTTAGTTGAAAATTAGTTTTAGAGGGGTAAAAATGTGGCGACAATAACCAGGTTACCTAACTCGTAGTTATACAGGTAGACAGGCAAAAATACATATTGGATACCACTTATATTAGATATATATTTGACTATATAATATTTCGTTATTTTTGGTCATGTCTGTGTAGTCTTTTTGGGTTAACAAATTAATGCGGCTTCTGAAAGAAATCGTAAAGGCCCAAATCGGCTTCTCGAATTGTCTGTTCGTTCTTTTGCTAGTATCCTGAAGCCAATGGACCACTATGATTAAGAGCAACAGCGCTATAGTTTAAGTACCAATTGTAATAAATAGGACTGAAAACAATGAAAAAGTAAAAATGCATTTGGTATATGACCGCCAATTTTCAAAAAATGGTTGCCAACACATATGAAAAGGTAATGGCATTGCTAGAACGATAGAAGTATAATAGCTAAGTAATGACAGTTGCTGTGTTGTTTAGTTCGATGAGTTAATTAGTTAAGTTATTATCCATTAGTTTGTCCAGAGATATTTAGCAAGTGAAACAATTTCAACTTCCGAACTACGCACCATTAGCAGGAAAAATTTTTAAATATTTGTATCAAGACATTGGCTGAGTACGACTTTAAGTTAATCAAATGTTGTAGAAAATGATGAATTTAGAAATTAGGAAGTAATTTAGTGTAATGCTTAGTGGGAATTTAAAAAAAAGACAAGAACTCTGGTGGAATCCGCAGAAGATTGGCGAAAATACTAGGCAACGAGGTCATCAGCGAAGTAACAGTCCGTAATTGGTGCAATTGTTTCACCAGTGAAAACTGGTGTGTTAAAAAACTACAGAAGAAGTTACTAAGCCTTTTACATAGATGAGAAAACAAGTTGCTACAATCACGGAGGTTTCTGAGAAAAACGTAGTTTGAGCAATGCGGCTAATGTGGACCTGAGACTTCTCAAAGCTCAAAACGTTCAAACAGCAATAACACAGCTGAAAAAAGGTAAACGGAGTTTAGAAGACATGGAAACATGTGGTGTACTCTGAAGACAAATGAAAAAAATAGCTCAGAGCACATGCTTGCCATAGATGAAACATGAATCCAAAGATGGCTTTGAGGAGGAGCTGAAATCGCTGCATTCTTCGAATTGATGTAATTTCGACTGGTTCCTAATGGAGGACAATAGATGGCGTGGGGTCGATTCTCTCGAACAAACCATCAATAAAGTGATCGGATATGGTAATGTGCTTCACATGTGCTCAGCTGTTAAGACGTTCTCACAACGCCACTGGTTTTACCGTGCGAAAAATAAAGGACAGTGCTTCTAACATACACTACAATATCCTTGTTCCTTTCATCTTATGTGGTTTAAGCGTTATTGAATTTTTCAACTCGCCAAATGTTTTGAGTTTCATGTTTGATACTGCCTACAAGCATTAATAAACCGTAAAATAAGGCGTGTCTATGTTTAATGGATAAATGTGTTACTATGGGAGAGAATCCAGCAGGCAATAAGCATCTTAAAATTATATGGAAGGTACACGGGCGGTAACAGTCGGGTTAACGGTTAAATTACTAACAAGCAAACATATGATCGTCAGGTAGTAACTTAAATAGCCTTTGATTTATTGCGGTATGATCACTCCACTGCTGAAGAACGACAGTTACAATGCACGCGGTCAGCCACTAATGCCGTCTCGTGATGCGAAGCTGTACGCTCTAATTTTCTTTCTCTCGATCGCACGAGTGTCTTCACTACCTCTGTAGCTGCTTTCATTGGACGCGTAGGTTTAGCTGCAACTGGTCTCTTGTACATATTATTCCCTTTTTGTTCAGTTACAATTTAGCAATTACGTTTGGTAATCAGTAAAACTCGTAGTAAATCAAATTTATTTAATTAACCGATATAGTAAAAGCAGTGTATTGTAGAAATGGCGAGAGGTGTGAGACAGTGCACACTCTAACCCATATGTCAACTCTGTCGTTAAGTACATTACCAGCGTGGCCCTTAGAGAGCCTTCGGAGCTCTCTCATGCTTGCTTTCATTCTTCCAGGCGTGCGATTTGCACCACTATCGCTCTGCAACCGTAGCAGACTAACGTTAAGCTCGTCGAAATTTTCCTTTTGACAAACCCTGTCAAAAATCGCTCTATGATATAGTGCCGGGAAGAGAAAGCGTTTGCTTGTACTCGATTAATTATGGAAAAACAGTCTGTCAATCTTGCTGCAGTGAGCATGAAGCTAACGATGTTCATTCAGTTAAAATTGAATTTAGACCTATAGTAAATATGTGCTTCGAGTGGTGATACGTGGCGCTTGATTTTGAAAAGGAATATTAAATTTATTGGTGCCTATTAAATAGCTAGGGTTATATTCAAATTGATTCTTTTTTTTTTTTCTTTTTTTATAATTACTGTACTGTGATAAACAGGCAGTCTCTGTCGATAAGTTTTGTGTTGTTGCACATCGACATCTGTTGATCGGTAAAGCCACTTTTTCATATTAACAAGTGGTAACAATGTAACATGTCAGAATGTAAAGTCTTTGGTGTAGCCGAGACTATCACGCATTCTACAAAGATTAGATGACGACCCTCCTCTATGACTTTAATTCATTATCAATTAATGTTTCAATAAGCTTATATAACAATATTAAGTACGGGATCAAAGTCCGCCAATCCGCGCCAAATGCTTGTTATTGTGCTAGTGAGATAAATTCTGTGTGAGCTACATTATAATTCAATATAAGTAGTAGGGTCGTTGAGAAAAGCAGAAGCTAGAGCCCTCAATGTACTTCTAGAAATTTACGTTGAGCGTTCCGTGATCAGACAGGTAATACTCGTACTCTATAGTAGGTCATCACGTTAAATGCGGCTTTAGTCGCTTTAGTAGGTATTGGAATAAACCCTAATCACAACCATTATGTCACTACAACTTTTCATGACCGCAAATTGATATAGAAACAGATTGCACTGCTCACGAAGCCACTGAATGAGTGGATAGGGCAAACGTGTGTGTCTCATGCGTTGATACACTAGAATTCGATTATAACACAAATGGCAAATTTTCTCTGTTCGCAGATGAAGACTTTGTGCAATCTTTTCTACCGGTAGAGAATGCAACAGATGCACCTGTTGAAAATCGTGTGGGTGTGCAGGTGCCTCTGAACAGAGCCACGGCCGCGCTCAGCTATGGACACATCGAAAGTCTTGATCGCTTGCGACGCACCGAGTTCCGGATAATCAGGTACAGTGCAGGCTGTCGCTATTTCATTTCTCCTAAGAAAAGTATCGAAATTTTCTAGGTGTAAAAATTGATGACTGATTTCGAGCCAATCTTACATCCCACTGCCTTGCATGCTATGAACAAATATTTTAAAGCATAAATAAATTTAATACTCATATTTAGCCGATGCTTTTCGAAGTTCTTGGCAGTAAAAATAGATTACTGCAAAAAAAGGATATACTCTAAGGATATACACTAAGCGTACAAAGGTTGAGAAGTGTAAAAATTATAGGTTCATGCACCTCGGTATCGACTCTACTGCGTCGCTTAACGCCTTCGATATGCCAGTCCAAAGAAGTATAAAAACACCAACGGAGCCTATTTAACCGAAAAATTCGCAGGTGCGCTCACTCTACACGACTCTTGAATTATTTGATGTAAAAATCACACCAGTTGGAACGCAGGGTTTTATATAGTAACACTAAATTAAGTAAGTGTAGCTTCTTTTAAGCAGTTACTAAACTTACTTAGAAGTTACAAGGCCAACACAGTTACTTCAGCCCAGCAGCAAATAGCGGTTTTATACAGACAAGCTGGCTCCTGGCTGAGACGCGGAAGCCTGAAGCACTCAATGCAAACTGGCCTCAACCTCGCCTGATCGACTTTATGGAAGGTGTTCTCATGTTAATAGCAGCCTCATACCACGCGCGAGCTGCAGCTTTCAAGTCAAAAAAAAAAAACTCAACGCCATTTTTGAGGAAAGCTTAAGTAGGTCTTGAATCACTGTGATGACTAGCTGAGACTTCCGTATCTGCTGGATAATGTACTGTCTAAACCTTTTGTTTTTTTGGTGTTTGTTATATCCAATGAGTAAAAAAGTAGCATATTAGATTACCATGCATATGAGCCTCGGAGAATTTCTTGTGGCAACTAAAGTAATTAATGCTTGTTAAAGGTCGTCTTGTAGTGTTTAGGATGAGATCGTCAGCATACAGAAAGAAATGTGTTAACGGGTTTCACCCCCTGCTCTTGCTTAATAGGCCGCTAACGACTAATGAAAATGGTAGCGGACTTGTCGTCTTAGGCGCGTTACGAGAATATTCGGAGTATCTGCTTCGCAGAAGATCGCAATGAGATACTAGTTTTCTGGCGGCTAGGTATGCTCGACTGAGGGTTCTGCAGGAATTTTCAAACACACGGCTTCTCATGAAGTTCTCGGTATGTATTAGAATCATCTTAACCATTGAAACTTAAGCATCTACATCGATATCGTCGGGATTCGGGAAGAGTTTAATTGAAAACGAAAGAAGTCGAGAGGTCGTCGATGAAATTTAGGGGCGTTGGCGGTTTTTAGTTTCAACGGTAGTCCTATAGGACTAAGCCATCTGAACTTGCCACCTGAGAAGTCTGTCTGCTTAGAAATTCAGTTCTACCCACTAATGATGAAAAAGATCAATGACGGGGATGTCCATGATGATTCTCAAACGTCGAGCACCGTTTACAATTGCACAGGCAAGGCCGCAAAAGGTCGAGAGTAAAGTGAACGCCCTCGGATTATCTAATTGGTAGAGTGGGGCATTAAAGTCACCAACCACTAAGACGTGGAAGTAATTAAAAACCTTTCCGACCATCAATAACGTGTCCTCTACGAGGACGCATATAGCAAGCAACAGAGTTAAAATAGAGAACTGTTAGTATAGCTGAAACATCTTCAAGAAAAAGAGGTTTCGCCTGCTCCAATTTCTGTCTGTAAAACACGCAGCTTACTGCCACTGCCAAGACTTAGATTGCTAGCTTATTGAGTTGGGGAATGTAGTTCATTGAATGCATATAGGCGTCGAGATTTTCCGAAGAATTAGCACACCGATTTTAGCGAAAGCAACCTGTAGCAAAAGCAAAAGATTTAAGGTATCTTCACAATTTCACCGTAAAACGTTTATTGCGTTCTGCTGCGATCATGGTACCGCTCACTGCAGTTGATTTAGCCACCGTGGGTCTCCATGTTGTGTTGTCTCATTTTAAGGCTTCTAGTACTCAAACTGTAAGTTTATGACGAATTTCATTCCGGAAGTACTTTTCTCCGTTTTTATCCTCCTATTTGTACCAAGGGTATCTCCTTCTTTTGGAAGTTTTAAGCCGTTATGGAGATCGTGGTTGTTACCTTGATGTATCTGTTGTCGGATTTTGCGATTAGCGCACGCAGCATTGCCAAAGCCTTGAGTCGCATGCCGCAAATGATTGTGCGAGTCGTAGGTTATCTATCGGCTGCTTTCGGGCGGCAATTTTTGTTATTGAACATTGCCGTCGCTCTTGAACTTAATACCCAAGAAACTTTATACGTGTTAAGCAACCGTTGAGGCAATTTTTTACACGATCTCATCGGTGTATTCTGACAAAGCTTCAATAAGCAAATTACATTGCACAAGAGTAAGCTCCGAGAACTTAAATCCATCTCGTCTCAAAAGTTCTTTGTCTCCGTTTTCCCCCAGCATTACGAGTGTTGAACTGAAAAAAATAGACGGTCAGTTTCGCGCTGAATTAGAAAATGCTTTGCATAAGAACGTTTTGCCTAAGGTTAAGACACTTGCTGGAGCCGGGCAAAAGTGTATTCTGAAAGCGCCCTTGATGGTACATCGTCGAGGAGGAGACTAATTGTCCATCTTCCCGGGCTCTGGGTTTGGTCCTATTTCGCGAGCTTGTCGAATACCGCTGCTTGACCAGCAGCATTTTCGTTCAAAAGAAATATCTTTCTTGCTACTCCAGCCTGTTCATTATAAGTCTCAAAAGCTTCGTTTTCCTTAAATTTTTTCATTCTATGATTCAGAACAAAGATCCAAGAACCGTCAAAGAGTCCGTGCCGAGGACCCCGCGGAAACAGCAGCTCCAACTGGTAGCGTTTTTCCAGTCTCGAAAATGATTACCTAAAGAAACCCCGATGAGCGCCATTACGGCTGTTATTAGACTTTCAGATATATTTCAAACATTTATTATTTTTTTCTTGCTTGGATGTAAACGATGTTTTTCGGCATCAGTTTTTATTACGAATGAATGTAGATGTTGAAGATGATTATTTTGGAGAAGGAGACAGAACTAATTAGACAAATTCAGAGTACTAACCGTTGACTTCAAATTTACCATGTCATCAAATTTATAGGTTCTAATAAACTAATGAATACTTAATTTAAAGGTCTAAAATATATAACAGTCAGCAGACCCATTTAGTTACTTAGAGAACAGTTTAAATGTGAGTTCAATCTTCCTAATAAATAAGAATGACGAGATGATGCTTCTTTTAAATATTTATGCATAACTTAAAGGCCGAACAAAGCTCATCATGACAAATTGCCATATTCTCGTACGCGGCATGTTGAGTTTATGTTGCATTCTTATCTGTTTTATAATAGCGTCTTCTACATCTTTTAGCCCTATCTCTTATCACCGACACTTCTATACTGCTATATTACGATGGGATAGGTAAATAAACGCCACGCCTTAACCACTTTTGGTGACTGCGTACAGTAAGCGGTCCTATATGTACGCGATAGCGACGACCAGGCCTTCGGAGGTTTAGCCTGGGAACATCACAGTTGTTGTCAAATTCGACCGTGTGGATTGCTGAGCAGCAGGAACGATATGTAAAAGGTTAAAATAGAAATTTAAAATTCTTGTTGTCATCGATAGGGTTATCGGTCCAGGAATGAACTGCCTAGCGTCCTATTTTTGTACGGCCGTGACCTGACAACGACCGTTGCTAACGGCAACTCATATACATACCAGCATCGATGATGAGCCATCAGAATAAGTGGTTCACTCGTTTGTGGACAGATGTAAGCGGCAGAGACAAGAACCTATAAGCTACAAGCCAAACCTGAGAGCAAGCCTAACAAAGAGGAGTTATAAAATAGACACTCGGCTGAGCCAGTTGTTACATCGAGGTAGCGGGAAAAAGAATGCTTACGGTGAATAGGCTAAAAGTGTACGCATTGGCGACAGAAGCGGTAAAAGGTCGCGTTAAATAGGCATAGGGGTCGACTTGAGAGCACGAGGAGTTGCCCGGACACCCCAGATGTGAGACGCCACGCCGACCATTGTACTACTGCTAGTGTATAGGTGTGCTGACCTATCAGGCTCTGAGGAAGTGGTGAGCGGTTCTACAAGTGGAGTATTCTAGTTGGGGGCCATGGGAGGGGCCAATGTGAAGAAACAGACTGGTTATTTGAGGGCAGAATGAATGCATAACTATGGAGTTGACAATAGCCATATGGAAGCCACGCTCAGCAAGCATAGTGTACAGAGATAAGCGTTCAGCAACAGAGAACTCGTTCTGACTAGATCGGGCACCTTCGTATAAGTTGTGGAGAAGTTTTCACATACGACTAGGGCAGTCTAGCCTAAACCACAGAGCCCCTTTTAAAGGCAATGCCTAGCAATAAAGTGTGTAAGCAGGCCTCATTCGCAGACATTTTGCGCGTCACCATATTAACTACATAGCATAACGACTGCCTGAACTTCCGTTGGCAGCAGGGCCGTGACGCAAATATTGGCTGTGGCACAATCAAAGATCGCATTATACTAGCTGTTTGTATGAAAAAGATGTTAAACATCGACAGCCGTGGTTACATGCGAGTCAAAATTCACAGTACGTTAAGGCATTGCGGCGCGTGCTATCTTCATCATAACTATGAGCTAATAGTCTCGTAGCGCTTCGAACTTATCAAAACGGCTGGCTTCTGAGCATTTCTTCTAAACTCAACTCTGCTTAATCAGTTGAAATGTCAATATCAACAAACTGGAGCATTGGCAAAAAAAACGTGTAGATTATACATACAGATGTATCGAGCCACACTGTGGCATACATACGACGCGTTCGCGTTGTACAGGTAATTTGATTGTCCTATGTTGGCCTGCTCAGTACATATATATCTTTGGGCGTACTCTATTTGAAATAGGCCAAGAGTCACACAGGTGATTTGCTTAATAATTTTTTTGCGTCTCGCATGACGGCTTCCGTGAGAATCAGGTAGTCATTTTTGGCTTTTCTACTATCCGCGTCGACAGATTGTAATGCGATTGTGTTCCCGAACTGTTTGCGTGTGCGCAACATAGATACATTGACAGTTACGAAAGGTAGTAGTCAAAATATGCTATGACGCGCTTCATACAAAGTAAAATAATGTATTTAACAGCCAGTTAGAAGGATGTTTACTGACGTAAAGGGATCAAACACATTACGCTGATAGATTTTGGAAGTCAGTTTAAAAAATCCCCTATTTGACATTTAGCCATCTCTAATCACCTAAAATCTATCTAAAAAAATAACTAAAAAGTTAGGTCTTCAATGCGACAAAAGAATCAGACGCTTGTAATACATTGAAAGTTCGTTTTGCTGCATTCATTTCACTGCGTTCTGTTCTGTGTTTGTCAAAAGTATTTAAGGAATCTCCGCCATTAGCGGGACCAGCACAAGTTTATAAACTCATGAACTTTAGGTTAGAAGAAACAGGAAGTGGCCTGGAATCGTATCTCCAGTCGTAAACGGAAGGCCTTTCTATAGGGCCTGATGCTGAACAAAGCCTCAAAATTTATAACGTCGCCAGGTTGAATACCTCACCTTGGCTTAGCTCCGATTGCCAGATAACCTCAATATAGATTATATGCCCACGAGATTCCACGTTGAGGGTTTTCGACCAGGAACATCGCCATATGAGTATCCGCAGTGAATGTTCGTTACAAAGTTAGTATATCATGTTGTCACAAAGTCATCAGCTCGGATTTTAGGAGGGTTTTTATGTCTACTTTAGGTATAAAAGAAAAATAAGATGGGGGATGAAGCGGAGGGACTGATGGCCTCTAGAGACTTTTGGTCATCTACGGTAGGAATTTCTTCGGTTTGTTTTGCTGACATGATCTCTCGCGAGGTAGACGGCCCACAATGCGAAGCTTTTCAGATATACTGTTTAATTCTGCCTTTCATATTGACAAGCGAATTAGTGAGTACGGCGAACTATCTAATGGTTAAAGGTCACCACAAAATAATTTTCGGCTACAGAAAAAAAAACTAAAATTTTAAGTAAGTCTTCATTGAATGTTTTTTTACAAGTACGCACTGTGGCAAAACTCTTCACAGATTAAAGTCAGTATGCATACCATGTAAACCTAAATGCACAGATTACTACACCACGAATATTTATCCATCCTATATGATAGCCTTGTTGATCCTATTACAAGTTCATACGTGACGTTGTTACCTTGAAATTGAAACGAGTAACTTGACGTAACTAGCGAAAAAGGTGTTCTCTGGAACTAGCTAAATTACACCGATCAATATCCACAGAAATACTATAAGTGGTTAGAGTAGCTACGAATCTTATGATATATAGAAGGAGAAATTCTGAACGAAGCCAATAGAGAAGTGCAGAAACACACGTGCACTCACTAAGTTGCACGAACAAGAATATACAATAGAAATCTCTGCCCTTACGCCTACTAGGTCTCTCACGCGAGTTCTACTTGTAGCATCGATTTTGTCGAAGGTAGCCATTCGAGTACTTGGCGCGTGATGCTTGAGCACGTTAAGGTTCTGTTATGCATTCCCTTTACTATCGAACAGGTAAAATTGGTTCACTGCTCGATCAAATCATGTAAGCTAGTCAAGCAGACTAGCCGTCTAGTGACATACTGTCAACGTAACTGGTCACTCCGGGGTTGAAATAGAGGCCGTATCCGAAAGAAGGATGAAGAGCAGTTGAAAAGCAGCGGAGCGATGATAGCGACTTAAGCAGGCTTACGTATTCGGCTAGATACAAAGGCAACTACAGTAGAAATTTTGTCCCGTTTCAGCTCAAATCTGCTGAATCCAGCCAATCCGAGCACTCCCGACAAACTCGACCGAACAGGGCCAGCGTCACTTGCATCGATGTAAGAGATGGAAAGGTAGGCGTCAGGAGCGGCGGAAAAAGAACGCGTCCGCTCGTGGAAACTTTTCTCTGGTAGCTTCTTCTTCATGTTCTGCATCTTTCACGTTATAACGTCAGAAATCAATAAAGCCTGCATACTGAAGTAGATTTGCGTCTAGTCCCTGCTCCCACTCTGCGTAAAGACGACTGAGTACGGGCAAATACAGGAACGTAGCAGAAGAGCACGAAAAATGCAGGCGTCGTTGCCTCTTTCGCCTTCAGCAGGTCGTAGCTAGTCCCAACTTGCCCACTTTATAGGTCGGTTGGCGCCTCACCCAAGTCTGTACACAGTTATACCAGGATACAGACATGTACGAACGAGGGTATGACGACCATGGGGGCGAAGACGGTGACTACCTAAAAAACAGCGACCAGAAGAAACTATTTCTCGGTGGAAGTACCAAAAATACGCAAAGTCTATAGCTAGCCCTTTGCTTTTCGCGGCGACGGCGATGCTGGCAATAGTGAGAATGTGAGGGCAAAATCAAAAGCGATGAAGTGACTGAGAGAGAACAGCTGCGAGACTGTAGTAGATATATATATTGGGGCTGAGGTTTCGATCGGTTGAGCATATTTTATTTTTCTCCTTTTATTCGCAGGCGAAAATAAGAAAAACAGGGGAAGTTGTTAAGATTTTAACACGAAAAGCGAGTTTCGAGGACGAGAAAGAAACTTACCGCTGAGAAATAGACGAAGCGGGAGAGACATTGGAAGTATGCCTGATGCAATCGCCATTTTAATCTATTTTTACTTTCATTTGGTATGCCGTTATTCCTGTTCAGGAATTTGTTTGGCTATGTTAAAATTGTGATGATGCGTACAAGCGGACAATGTAAGATAATTGTAATGTGACCCACGAACGCTATTACTGATAGCGTCAGAGAAAGATTTGGCAAAATGGTAGCGGAACTAAAGATGAAATGAAAGAATTCGTTGGCGCTCAGGTTGCGATGATTCGTTGTAGGGTCGGAAGTGTTGATGAGGGCAAATATAGGTATTATAGCGGAGAAAAATGCCAATTTGTAGGAATGCATCTCGCAAAAACAATAAGGACCCTCGACTAAGATACCCTATCATTCTTGAGCCTGATAGTTAGGGCGACGTAAGAACTTTCCTCATACATTTTTTTAAAATTAATTGAATTGCTTCTTTTGGCAGCCGAAAACGAGTCTACAAATATATTTGATGTCTTCTATAGAGTGCGTTTTTGACGCGGATGTTTGGTGCTTATAGTCATATAGCAACGAGCGTCTTATGCAATATTAAGAGACATTAATGCTCTCCGAGATGACGTAACTCTGACACGGCCACTGGCTTCCTTAATGGAACTATCAAAAAAAGAAAATCTTCCAAGACGTGCAACACAATAAAGAGATGGAGAGTTTAGGCTGGGTCGTTAGAGGACCATAACGAAGGATGAACAACAAAACTTCTTCTTCTTCTTCTTATAACAACAAAACTCAGCTACGAAGAATAGGTCTATTATCAACTACTAGTTGAAATAAATGGCCCTATTAGAACTAGAATAATAAAAGTAACATGTAGCCAAGTAATGTGCTTAATATCTTTCAATACGATAATATTACGTAAAAGGCCTAGCACCAACAAAGTAGAAGTTAGTCTAATAAACAAGCATAAAGTCACAAGTCCGCTAGTGTCAAATTTTACATGTTTATGAATCTGAGTGACAGGGCATTGTAAGTAACAATTTAATAATTTTTCTAGTAACGTTGTCCTGTTTCTAATAGCTTGCAAGGACAGTAGATCATGTAACTGTGTAGCTCATACGAGCGCACATGACTCTATATAGAAGTACACGTTTATGAACTATACTTGTAGAAATATATTTATCCAGACTTTATTTAAAAAATGATTCTTGTTCTGATTGACATTTAAATAGTTTTTTCAAGGAGATTGATTTAACCGATATAGTTTATTCGGACATAATTTGCTGACAAGTTCATATTAAAAAGTAAAGCCCTAGTAAGGTGAAGACTATTGAAACATGGCATGTTCAGCCGAAATAGTAAAAATGCTTCATCACGGCTGCTATAACGAATTTACTTTAGTGCTTGTGTTACGTGAATCGGTGTCCTGACTTTCACTGTAAATGATAAAATTGGCAAAAAACAGGCCAGGGGCGAATAAAAGTCACTTGAATGGTTCGAATATAATATAAATATAATAATATAGTTATCCACTATATTGCTAAAAGAGGAAGTAGTTTAAGTCTAAGAAAACAGTAGATCTTTTGATCCCCGACCTTTTGTGTCAAAACGTCTAAAGGATGGTTTCTCCTGAATTCCAATAAAAATCCAATGTTGTATATTGTATATAGTATTTTTAAACTTATACCACCATAAGTATATTATATACCATATAATAAATACTATGCGAGCTTTTCGTCGATGGGAATCGAAAGAACCTTGCAAAGTTGAAACTCAAATGGGACATTATTCTCACTGATCCGCCAAAAGCTTCTCGCCTGTGGAAAGCGAGCCTGTATTTTAAACGATAAGCAGGCGATGATGGATAACGGCTTATAAGACAAATACAGACATTCTAGCCATAGGACCGTAATCGCTATCATTTCAGTTCTTCTACTTGCTTTCACCCTTAATACGTCTCGCATTCTCATTGCTTACGTAATTAATGACCTTACTCTGTTAGGGAACTCTTATTGGTATTGTGACTGTGTGTGAGTTTGAGCAACAAAAGTAGTTCTTAAAAGGACCGTCTCTCATTGGGTTAAAGGCATTGCCCTATATGAAACTGGCTTACTAGACGAAAAAGAAGTCTGAACAGAAACCGAACTCTTATTTTTAGCAAACATTTTTCGGCTGTCCAGATCTTCGGACAAAGCGTGATTTTACAAAAAGCAAGGACAAACAATTTTGTGAGGAGATGAGTCTGCTTGACGCCAATTAGCGATATGGCGTCGTACAGTATTCACTCTCAATTCGATTTGACATCTCAAAACCTGACAAAGATTAGCGTAAACATTAAGACTAATAGTTACGTAGAGAAGATGAATGCAAAAAAGCGGGTCGGTTTTTTGCCAGCTGAAGTGCTAACAAAAAAATGCTTGCTCAACCAACTTCAACTTCAACTTGAGTATGTTCCTTGGCCATGCTCCATGCCATTAAAGGTGGGTCTTTGATGAAAATCTATAACTGCTTTCAGCAATTTCGAAATAACTGCTTAATTGATTAAAATAGCGGTGGCACATCATATTATACGTAGGTATAGCATGCAAAGTAAATATCACTTGCAATGTAAGCTAATCATATCCATCCTGCTGGCATAGCTTACACATTGAGGACCACGTGTATGGCAGCTCGAGTTCAAATCTTCGGGCAGCTAAGTCTTTTAAAGAGGACTGCTCAAAACCCAGGTTACATGATCGGAGTACGATGGTGAATACCAAGGTCCTCCCTTGTGACTCCCTGCTCCCCATTATAGATGTGTTTTGTGTGTTGGAACTGCAAGATGGCGTGGGACAGCTATGTGCCCTTTTTTGTTGACCTAATTATTCGACTGCTAACTAATGGTCAGGTTGAATAATTATGAAACGCATATTACTCGGCTTTATCCAATAAAGCTTTCGATGCATTGTTATCGTAATCGTATATATTGTTCTTTGGCCATTTGCACATCAGATTTGATCCCGCTTCTCTTGAATAAATAAGCCTTGATTATTACTTACAGCCACGTGACTATACAAGAGCCGCCTAGGCATATATCTACGTATACCTTGAATCCATAATAACAACTTAAATAACTAAGGTCGTTTCCTTTTAACTTTAAGGGCTTCCGTTTGCGCGCTCTGCGCATGTGACTGATTAATATACAAATAGGCCTCCTAGATTTGGCGCTGCTGGGTATGCAAAGAACACTTACGAAGCAGCAAGTTACGAAGCGGCTTTTTCTAAAAGCAGCCACTCTTCTATGCCAGCTTCCTACTCCAACATCTCATCTCCCTTTGCTCATAGCAGTAGGTGACGCTCATTCAACCGTTGTTTCCGTAGTTCCTTATCTCAAAGTAAATCCTACAAAGAGTGTAGTTAGCAATCGTATTCAGTCACGCAGCACGCCACTAATGGCGTCCGCGGCTGCAGCACTGTTATGAAGCTATGTCTATTTTGGAATTTGAGCGGGTCGTACCAAGCAGCCTCTTTGTAGTTCCCTCTAAAAGTCCGCCCTCTTTTCGTTTCGTCGAACCCTGTCTACAGTGAGATGAAATCTACAGCAGATAAGCCCGCCGGCAAAAGCCGAGTAAAGCCCTTTGCTTTTTCGAGCCTTCCTATATCAAGGCTTCTTCCTTTCTCTAAGCCAACAACACCTCGTTGTGTGACGACAAGCGACAAATCACATCTAAATCATTACACCAACACACGAACTTACGTTAAAACTCATTCACAAAGGTACACGAATTCAAGCGATATGTTCTATTGATGTTTGTTCCTGCGAACGCTATCGCATTCTAGGTCTGCTCAATAGGTGGCAGAAGCGTTACGAAGGAATACGAACAGGAAAGCTACAGATGATTTACACATGCCTGAACGAGAACGTCCTAGAAGAAGTCCGACAAGCATTTGGCCGACAAACATCTTCCGGATCCTTGGCCTTGTGATGTAAATGTTTAAATAAAGTAAATAGCGCAAAGGGAAGGTCGAATAGAAATCCAAAAGACGTTTTTTTCTGAGATTCCGCTTCCTACTAAGACGATATGATTCACAGACACATAGACTTAGAAAAAGAAGTTGGAAGAACAAAGCAGTAAGAAATAGCTGCAGGAGTTGGAACCGGGAATAAACAAATGCGCGAAGCACTACGGGGAAACGAGAGATTGCTGGTACTGGTAGCGAGAATGAATTTAGAACCAGTCTGGATTGCGAATTTTATCTTCTGTAGCCGCGCATGAACTGCGAGCGTTTGAACGAGCGACTTTGCCGAGGATGAGACGACAAAGATCGCAGAGAAAAAAAGGGAGAGGAAGGAGAGAGAGAAACAGAATACGGGCGTATAAAAGCGCATGGATAAAACGTACATGTGGGCGTAGCTGCCATCACCACCATAGATGGGCGCAGGGATAGTCACATGTGAAT